ACAGATACCACCAAGTTGGGGATGAATCGAAGAAGGGGTCTTGCACTTGCCAGGCATTTCTCCCAGTCCCCAGTGGCCACAATTGCTGGGCAGTTAATGAGAGGATTCCCAAGACTCTACTGATCGTTTGTTAACTTGGCAAAACAGGACTGGCAACAGTCGGGAGCAGCTGAGAACACTCTGTGCGTGCATGTTTCCAGAAAAATGAGGAGGGGAGGTTGAGATCTCAGATGAACCATGTGTGTTCATCCCCTCTGGTATCCAAAAGAGGAAGAGCGGCGAGAAGCAGGACCAGAGGAGAGAAACCAACTCTGGAACTGATCTCACAAATATGTGCTACATGCAATCCAGGAGAGCAGAAGTACAAACCCATCAAGTTCCTGCTAGGATGACCACTAGTGGGAATGGGGAAATGCAAAGAGGATCTGTCTCCCAATGGGACCTGGCCACCCCCAGGGCAGAGGATTCAACAGTGTCTATGGAAGGCACTCACAGACAACACGTTCCAAGGAGGCTTCGTGTCACTCCTTATTCCCCCAAATCCAAACAGAATGAAAACCAAAAACACCCTCCACCACTACAAGCCATCAAGAGCTAGCCTTAGGGTTCAGGTGCTAAGGTTATCCTTCAAATATGTCTGGCTCAAAGGAGGAGTCGAGGAGGATTTACCCACATTCTTCTTGGACAGGTAAAACTGGTACCATGCAAAGACAAGAAGCAGAAGGGGTCATCATGATACTTGTGCAACAAGATAAAAGCAAACAATACAAGAAAAGGAATGAAAGATGCAAAGGATAGATAAATACACTCTAGAAAAAGAATGAGCTCATAAACCATGAAAACTGTAGACAGAATTGTTCAGCCCTGGAAGAAATAAGAAATCAAAGAGGACAACATAATGAGCTAAGGAAAGAAGGAGATAAAAAATGTAACTAGGCTGGGCAAGGTGGCTCACACCTATAATCCAAGAACTTTGGGAGGCTGAGACCAGCGGATCACTTGAGGTCCGGAGTTTGAGACCAGCCTGGGCAACATGGTGAAACCCTGTCTCTACTAAAATACAAAAATTAACCAGGCATGGTGGCATAAGCCTGTAGTCCCAGTTACTTAGGAGGCTGAGGCAGGAGAAACGCTTGAACTCGGGAGGCGGAGGTTGCAGTGAGCAGAGATCACACCACTGCATTCCAGCCTGGGCACAGAGTGAGATGCTGTCTCGAATAAAATAAAATAAAATAAAACAAAACTGTAACAGAAGCGGAAGCCACATTACAAGGAACAGTACAGTCAACAGTACAGATCAACATTACAATCAACAGTACAGAAAACTGAGTCAGTCAGTGAAATGGAGGATAAGACTTGAAAAAAATCATACAGCATGAAGAAAGATGAGATGAGTGGCATCTAAGGAAAGATAACTGTGAAGGACAGATAACAGAGAGCCAATATAAAAATGAAGTTTTCAAGAAGAGAACAGACTAAACTGATACAAAAAGCAGTGAGGCCTGAAATGACCATATCTAATGCTCACTGCATTCCAGAAAAAGGGAACAGACAACAGTCAATCCTGAGATATACTCCAATGAAGTTACTAAATTTCAAGGATAAACAAAGAATTCAAGTATCCAGGGCAAACAATCAGGTCATCTACAAAAGGGGAAGAAAAACCCATCAGGACTCAGACCTCTCAGCACCACCAGATATGGACAACAATAAAGTAGCAATAACACCATGTCTCCAGAGAATTCAAGGAAAAAGGATGTGATCCAGAATCTGATAGCTGGCCAAGTTATTGTTCGTAAGTAACAGCAACAGGAATACATTTGTAAATATGCAAGAAAACCCAACCGAAGCTGTAATCCAGTCTGCAAAAAAGATAAAAACATCAGCTCTCAAATGTGGAGTCTTTGTATGAAAGGGCTGGCAGTGAGCACTGAATTCATTCAGACACAGAATTAAGTCTAAATAACTCTAGTAATTACCTACAGCAATCCACTTTAAGTTGCCTATCTTTTTTGGTAAAAGCTGCCAAATCCATCTGATTATCTCCTCTAACTATGCCAAAATGGAAACACACAAAAGAAACCCTCTCCTGAACGGAATTAACTTGCTCTACAGATAATTTGGGGTTTAGAGCTTACCCTTTGAGGAATAGTATACTGAAGAAATTCCTCAAAGGAGGTAATACAAATCACCTGGTGTATTGTTTCGAGCACCCAACTGCTCGCTTTGGCCCTTCCATTGACTTACCATGCCACCTTGGCAAACTTAACTGCTTTGGGATTCATACGAAAAACCGAGATATAGCTGCGTGGTTCACCTCATGGCATCGTAAGGATCAAATGGCATGCTGTATGCAAAAGGTCTTTGGAATCTATTCGCAAGGCTGTAAAACTATGTCACACTGTTTGGATGGAAAGAATTCTGTACTCAGGAGCCAAAATCAGATACTGAGAGACTAAAAAAGGACGAGATGGCTCCTGTGGATCTATCCCTCCACTTCCTTTCATTTCTCCACATTTTAAAGTCATCTCTTAGCACTATAAAAAGGAAATTCAGCACTTTCACAGCTCCTGACCTGAACTTCCATACTTTCTGTTTTTTTTTTTTTTTTGAGACGGAGTCTTGCTCTGTCGCCCAGGCTGGAGTGCAGTGGCGGGATCTCGGCTCACTGCAAGCTCCGCCTCCCGGGTTTACGCCATTCTCCTGCCTCAGCCTCCCGAGTAGCTGGGACTACAGGCGCCCACCACCTCGCCCGGCTAGTTTTTTGTATTTTTTTAGTAGAGACGGGGTTTCACTGTGTTAGCCAGGATGGTCTTGATCTCCTGACCTTGTGATCTGCCCGTCTTGGCCTCCCAAAGTGCTGGGATTACAGGCGTGAGCCACCGCGCCCGGCCAACCTCCATATTTTTAATTTAGAGACGAGGATGGTTTAAGAACTTAGAAAGATGTTGCCCTACCACCCAAGGAAGATATCTGACAGTTTTCTATCTTTGATTCACCTACTATTTATGAATATTATTCACTATTTTAATATTATTTATTAATATTGTTTATTAAGCACCTACTACGTGTCAGGCACTATTTTAAAGAGACACAGTCCCCACTTAAAATCAAATAAATGAGAGAGCAATACAGAGGAATGGGAAAGAATTTAGCTGAAAAAGGGTCCATGTCTATTTGTGTTACAACCTATGTGGGGAAATCTGACCATTTGCTTATAGGCAAACCCAGTAAACAGCCAGATTCTCTGCCTAAATTAAGAGAATCATGGACAGTTGACAAAAAGGATAAATGAATACTTGGGTAAAGAGGCTAGTAAGCTAGAAGAACACAGATGTTCCTGAAACTCTTCTTGCAGTTGCTTTAGGATTAAAGATAAATTCTTAATGAAGAAAACAAAGACAGGAGAAGCAAGGTTGTACTGGGGTCAGATGGATGTGAGGAAGCCAAAAAGTGTGCTAGTAAAGAACTACCGATTAAGTCATGAAGACACTGAAATCAATCTTTACTTTTGAAAAACACTTGTAAAGGGAAGAACGTGATGAGATTTTTCTACACCATATTTTCCATATGCGGCCCCTTACATGGTACTGCTTATGAGGATGTGGTAATCGATGGGGCTTCCTCAAACAAGAGAAACGCTGTCAGAACCAGGCAGTAGGCAGCACACCCTAAACTGCTGCTTCCTCTCTCCTACAGTGTATCACACTTGAAAGCATAAAGGAGTATCATTGGAAATTGAGGCCAAGGAAGATATTACCTCATGTTTATAAGGAAGCTAGGGTCGGCTGGGCGCGGTGGCTCGCACCTGTAATCCTAGCACTATGGGAGGCTGAGGGGGGGGGCGGGTCACTTGAGGTCAGGAGTTCGAGACCAGCCTGGTCAACATGGTGAAACCCCGTCTCTACAAAAAAACACAAAAACTAGCTGGGCGTGGTGGTGCACACCTATAATCCCAGCTATTTGGGAGGCTGAGGCACAAGAATTGCTTGAACCTGGGAGGCAGAGGTTGTAGTATGCTGAGATGGTGCCACTGCACTCTGGCCTAGGGGACAGAGTGAAACTGTGTCTCAAAAAAAAAGGAAGCTAGGGTCTTTGCATGTAAACGACCATTTTTTGGTTGTTTTTTTTTTTTTTTTACATCTTTTACGCCACACAAAAATAATCATATGGAACAGTCCCATTCCCAAGACACTGACTCGGTCCTCAGACCTATGGGCTTCCTACGGCCCACCTCTCACCAGTCTCTCGGAAGTACATCAGTATTTCTTTTACCTGATTGATTATATATGAGTTCTCTGATGAGATCCTTCTAAGGATGGAAGAGATGAGCTCTTTCTAAAGATGAATGGAACTACCCTGAGCTCAGGTAATATAACGAAATAAAAGAAAAGCAGATCCAGTGGAATGAAGAGAAATAGGAATGCAATCCAGCCACATGCAGCTGGGCAAAGCACACCTCATTTCGGGGAGAAATCCCCCACGGTGGTGGGAGTGGGGCTAATTGCATTGGTACTATCATATGACTAAAGCAGGATGAATGGTTTACAAGTCAGAACTTCTACATCAGTGGACTCAACACTTACAAATTGGACTGAAACATTTATACGGACATTAAAACAGGGCGGAAGTCAAAACAGATGATATATATGGAAAATTATCATGAAGAGAAGCACATCCTGTGGAGCTGTATATAGGATGCTGGTATCAATCCGGATTCTTCGATCACTTCTATTCCTAAGGGTAAATATAACATCATTCCTCTTTCCTTATCCCAAATCGTCTGCTAATTCCCACTTCCAACTTTTAGCAAAAAGGATTGTGAAAATCAGACTGAGCTGACAATTCTAAAACTAAGATGAATGAAAATGAAAATTATCAAGACCTGGAGCATTTTTCAAAAATAAACTAGAGAGGCCTTTTCCCTCCGATAGTCTATTTTACAGCTAGTAAAGTGCATCACACAGAAACTTCCAATTCCTTAGAAGACTACAAAGGAATAAAATATGACACAGGTACTGTATTAGATGGATAGAAGTTTGACAGAAGCATAAAAACTCCACTTCACACTCTGTGCAAATGTGGTATTGACCAGGAGGCAGTTTTTCACTTAAGATCTTTGAAACCAAGCAGTTGGGTGAAAAATTCGAAGATAACATTTGGAATGCTTTAATCAACAGAAATATACAAATGAATGTTAAAATAAAATGAAGGCATCAGTGAAGAAGATCTAACATGAAAGTCGCCACAACCTCACAATGAGAATCCGATCAGATGGAAGAAGGCAAAAGCCTAAATCATAGAGTGGCGGAGGGAGGCATGGGAGAGACGGAGGGCTCTGGGACTAAATCACCAGGGCGTGGCCAGCTGATGTCTTCCGCTTCCAGGGTCCCAGGGCCCTAGCTGGAGGTTTGGGACAAATATGATATTTGGTCACAAGGAGCAACAGTACAATCTGCTGTATCTGGAATGGGAAAGGCGCACAGAATCCTGGAAGGACTGAAGACATCAGATGCTATGAAAACAAGATGGAGTGTACGAGGGCACAAGAGCTGTAAGGAGGCTCGGTGCTCTTCGGTGACAGGCATCAATCACACCACAACAAGATGTCATAAAAAAGTTACTACTTTAGTGGAAGATCTGGAGTAGCTACAGGAAAAGCTCCTTGGGAAAGTCCAGGTGGTACAGAGAAAATACACATTCAAGCACTAGGAATAACTATGATGCCACGCTCAGAGCAGGTGGGAGAAAGCAGTTCTCTCTGGTTGACTTGCAGAAGGCAATCTTTCTTCACAGAGAGGACCAGAGCATTCAGTCCTCTAGAAAGTTCTATTAGTCTTGATCTTGTCCCTACAAAGAAAACAATGAGAATATCCATAGTGAGTTTGTGAGTACAACCTCCTCTGTTTTGACCAGGACTTAGAGCATTTCATTATAGTGATAATTCAAAAACCCTTGCCGTATCTCAGAATTATTTTCTACAATTACTACAGAAACAGAATGACCATTTAATTACTTACATATACTTTAAAACGGTTCTTTACTGTCAGTGAAAACTCTGGTTAGATATAGAGTGACTGCTAAAAAGTATGAGGTTTCTTTTGGGGGTGATGAAAATATGTTAAAGTTAGATAGTGGGAAGGGCTGCACAACTCTGTGAATATACTAAAAAATATGGAATTGTATACTTTTATTTATTTATTTATTATTGAGACGGAGTCTCGCTCTGCCGCCCAGGCTGGAGTGCAGTGACAAGATCTTGGCTCATGGCCACCTCTGCCTCCTGGGTTCAAGCAATTCTCGTGCCTCAGCCTCCCGAGCAGCTGGGATTACAGGCGCCCGCCACCACCACCCGGCTAATTTTTGTATTTTTAATAGAGATGGGGTTTTGCCATGTTGTCCAGGCTGGTCTTGAACTTCTGACCTCAAGTGATCCACCCGCCATGGCCTCCCAAAGTGCTGGGATTACAGGCGTGAGCCACTGTGCCTGGCCAGAATTATATATTTGTAAAGGGTGAAATTTATGTTGTGTGAATTAATCTCAATAAAACTCTTACTTAGAAACTGTTTTGAAAACACATTTTCTTAGAATCTCCCATGTATAAATACCTAGTGAATTTACCATACTTACTAAATTCTTTCCCCAAATCTCTACTATTTGTACAGTTTAACAATTTTAATTGTCAGGCTAAGCATTTTAAAATTTTAAGAATTGCTTTCTGCTTAAATTTGTTCATCTAATAACATATGAGAAGTTAAGACTAATACTTAATTAGCATACAACCTGAACTACTTAGTTTTAAAATTGCCTTTAAAATAATATTCAATTAAAGCCACCTTTTTACAACCAAACATTTTTCTAAAGATGGCTTCTGCACTACTCAAATTACTCCACATATCAGAGCAATAGTTTGAACCGTTTGAATCAACCGGTCACAGTGATGCTCAACATTCTATTTGACTTACATACAGACTGAAAATGGAATCAACAGAAATTGGTATGATCCAGGTATTTCAAGCTGATTTAGCTTAAACTTGGCTGGGAATAGTGAGAGTATGTATGTTTGTGTCCACAAACCAAACTTCTCTAAACTTCATCATTTGAGATGAGTGGCCAGTCCAGCAATATTGTATAGCAGTCCACCATGACACTTCCATAGAAAAAAATAAACATCCATATGGATATCATTTATAACACTTGTCAGAGAAGACCAATGCTACTAAATGGTACAATATTGCAAAGCTATATAAACTGTATTTGTATACAAATATCTTTCTGTTGCATTATGCTAAAGTTGTTAAAAAAAATCAAGGTTTTCAGAGTGATAAGAAATATATACAATTAAAATATATTGGGGAGAAACATTACAGTGTTAAAATAGAATAAAATATCAATATGAACTTATGATTTAAAATATATTTTAAATATAGCTATATTTTATAGCTCTGTCCAGGAAAAGGGCCTAGAAAAGGTATAACAAGCATTCTCAATTCTAAGATTAGCATCTCTAATACTGATTAAAAAGAAATAGGGCTGGTCGCCGTGGCTTATGCCTGTAATCCCAACACTTTGGGAGGCTGAGGCAGGCAGATCACCTGAGGTCAGGAGTTCGAGACCAGCCTGGCCAACATGGTGAAACCCCATCTCTACTAAAAATACAACAACAACAAAAAAGTAGCCAGGCGTGGTGGCTCATGCCTGTAGTCCCAGCTACTTGGGAGGCTGAGACACAAGAATCGCTTGAACCCAGGAGGCGGAGGCTGCAGTGAGCTGAGATTGAGCCACTGCACTCCAACCTGGGTGACAGAGTGTGACTCTGTCTCAAAAAAAAAAAAAAAAAAAGAAACAAGACTCCTTGGGGGAGAATAGTTGATTCCAGGACACGGGCACAGAAGGTATAAGATGAACCTAGGATATCATCTTGGGCAAGAAATGCTTTCAAGGCAATAGAACACAAAGGATCCAGCTGGAAATAGCTCTCATTGGCCAAAGGTATGTCAATTCAAGCATCAAAAAGGAAAATGACTGTTACATACAATAACATGGATGAATCTCACATAAAGCCAGACACAAAAGGGTATAGCCTATGTGTTCCTTTTAAGTTCGAGAAAAGAACCTACGGTGACAGAGTTAGAAAAGTAATTATATGGTGGAGGAGGGAGGGAGAAGTGTTAGACTAGAAAGGAGTCTTTGAGGGTAGAGGAAATATAGATGTAAAAAAAAAAGCTGTAAACTTAAGATGTGTGCACTTTACTATTACTACATGTTATGCTTCAATAAAATAAGTGCCAATTAAAACGTATCAAAGTAACAAAATCTATAATACTACTAAAAAAGACAAAGCCATAAACTCATTTGTTACCATTTAAGGTGGCTTTTAACATATTTCTTACCTGGAAAATTGGTAACTTGAAGGGAATTTAATTGTCCCTTTAAATGTAAAAGGAAGGAGTTAAACACTTATCAGAGGAACTGTACTTCAAAATACCTAAATGGCCTTATTTGATGAGGAAGAGCTTTACTTTATAGGAGAATAATTGACAAAGGAATCATTTTTTTAAACATCCTTTTATAAACCCAAATAAAATTACTGTATTAATTTTAACACAGGCTGAAATGATCAATTGGGGTAAAAGCCATTAGGTGAACAGCTGATGGGTAAGTATACATTTGCATAGTGCCAAAATAACACCACACAGATTATTTTCTAGTGAAAAGGGGAAAAATAACTATAACTCAGAGGGATCAGACAGCCATCACCTAAACTATGCTCAATCATAACATCACTAATGGTGGGTCATGAGATGTCATGGGTCTCATAGTGTAATTCTGCAACAGTGCTTATGGATATTCTAGCAAAAAATGTTCCATTAGCTCTTTCTTTCTTTCCTTCCCTCTCTTTCTTTCTTTCTTTCTTTCTTTCTTTCTTTCTTTTTCTTTCTTTCTTTTTCTTTCTTTTTCTTTTCTTTCTCTTTCTTTCTTTCTCTTTCTTTCTTTTTCTTTCTTTCTTTTTTTTTTTTTTTGACAGAGTCTCACTCTGTCGCCCAGGCTGGGGTGCAGTGGCACATTCTCAGCTCACTGCAACCTTTGCCTCCTGGCTTCAAGTGATTCTCATTCCTCAGCCACCTGAGTAGCTGGGATTACAGGCGTGCACCACCACGCCTGGCTAATTTTTGTATTTTTAGTAGAGACAGGGTTTTGCCATGTTGTCCAGGCTGGTCTCGAACTCCTGACCTCAAGTGATCTGCCCACCTCGGTCCCCCAAAGTGCTGGGATTACAGGCATGAGCCACCGCACCCAGCCGCCATTAGCTTGTAATGAACTCCCAATTTATAGAAAATACAGGGAATGGGGAATAAGCTAAATGACATTTCAAAGAAGAAATTAAACAAATCAAGGTAGGATACTTTTTCAGGACAACTGGCATGGTCTCTCAATAACGAAATGCAACCTAAGTATCCATCAACAGATGAATGGATAAAGAAAATGTGATGTGTATGTGTGTGTATATATATATGTGTGTGTGTGTGTGTGTGTGTGTGTATATACACATATATACACAGACACACATACAATGGAGTACTATTCAGCCATAAAAAAGAATGAAATCCAGTCATTCGCAACAACATGGATAGAACTAGAAGTCATTATGCTAAGTAAAATGAGCCAGGCGCAAAAACATAAACTTCACATGTTCTCACTTATTTGTGGAATCTAAAATCCAAAGTAATTGAAGTCATGGACACAGTGAGTAGAAGAATGGTTACCAGAGGCTGGGAAGGGTAGTGGGAGGGTTGAGGAGAAGTGGGGATGGTCAATGGGTACAAAAAAATAGAAAGAATGAAAAAGACCTACTATTTGATAGCACAATAGGGTGACTACAGTCAACAATAACTTAATTGTATATTTTGAAATAACTTAGAGAATGTAATTGGATTGTTTGTAACTCAAAGGATAAATGCTTGAGGGGATGGACGCCCCATTCTCCGTGACGTGCTTATTTCACGTTGCATGCCTGTATCACAACATCTCACGTACCCCAGAAATATATACACCTACTATGTACCCACAAAACTTTTTTAAATTAAAAGACAATAACAACAACTTGAGACTACCCAGATGTTTTATGTGGTCCTGGAATAGAGATCTCGGTTTAGACAAATCAGGTGAATGATTATTGACATGGAAAGATGGGATGGTTAAATGAAACAAAAACAGGTTGTAAAACAGTATGAATAGTGTAATGTCATTTGCAAAAAAATACATATATACACAAATGGCAAAATGTCTGGAAGAACATACAGAAGCTATAGCAGTGGCAATGTCTGGGTTTTGGGAACACAGAGGTCTCTCCTTTCTTTTTTGGCTTACTTATGTCTTCTATTTTTTCTTTTCTTTCTTTTTTTTTGAGATGGAGTCTAGCTCTATTACCCAGGCTGGAGTGCAGTGGTACTATCTTGGCTCACTGCAACCTCCGTCTCCTGGGTTCAAGCAATTCTCCTGCTTCAGCCTCCCAAGTCGTTGGAATTACAGGCACGTGCCACCACACCCAGCTAATTTTTGTATTTTTAGTAGAGACCAAGTTTCCCCATATTGGCCAGGCTGGTCTTGAACTCCTGACTTCAAGTGATCCATCCACCTCAGCCTCTCAAAGTGCTGGGATTACTGGCATGAGCCACTGCGCCCAGACAACGTTTTCTTATTTTTTTATAATGCACATATACTGCTTTTTTGTTAATACAGGATTATTTTAAGTTAAATGAAGCAGAACCCTACTGTTGCTAGTAGAGTTGAAGCTTAAGGGTAGGTAGTCAGAAGAAAACTACAGATTATTTTCCTTATTACCATAAAACAGTGAAACTTCTTCTGTGATTGATAACTTTTCCTTTATAATGTTTAAATTTTTTATTGTGATAAGCTACACATAACATAGAACTTACCATCTTTTTCTTGTTTGAGACACGGTCTTGTTCTGTCCCCCAGGCAGGTGTGCAGTGGTGCAAATCATAGCTCACTACAGCCTGGAAGTCCTGGGCTCAAGTGATCCTCCCGCCTCAGCCTCCTGAGTAGCTAGGACTACAGACACACACCACACCTGGCTAATTTTACCTTTTTAAATTTTTTGCTGAGACGGGGTCTCACTATGTTGCCTAGACTGGTCTCGAACTCCTGGCTTCAAGAGATCATCCAGCCTCAGCCTCCCAAAGTGTTGGGATTACAGGCGTGAGCCACCACACCCAGCCCAGAACTTACCATCTTAACCATTGCTACACGTACAGTTCAGTGGCATTGAGTACATTCACGCTGTTGTGCAAGCATCACCACCATCCATCTCCAGAAGTTTTTCATCTTTCCACCTGAAACTCTGTACCCATGAAACAATGACTCCCCATTCCCTCTTCCTCGCTAGCACCTGGCAACCTCCCTTCAACTTTGTGTCTCTGCATTTGACTACTCTAGGTACCCCACATAAGTAGAATCATAGTATTTGTCCTTTTATGTCTGGCTTATTTCACTTAGCATAATGACTTCAAGATTCACCCATGTTGTAGCACATATCAGAATGTCCTTCCTTTTTAAGGCCAAATATTATTCCATCGCATGAACTGATCACCTTTTATGTTGACTGATCATTTTAACTTATTTTTCATTTTCAACCTCTAACGTTTATGATGACAAACTGCAAATTTAATTGCTTTTTAAATAAAATTCATGGCAGGTCAAATCCCTGCTCACTGTTGTGAATACCTCTACAGTGTAAGAATTCCTAGAACAGTGAGTGGGACACCTTTACTCAGACAAATCAGATACTTTGTAATGGAAATCAAAGTGGTATATTACTGTTTCGCTTTGTATTTTGAAGCATCCCTGGGTTCACTGCTGGGATTGCTCCAATCGTCGGCTTCAGGCGTGGTCTTGTAATGGCGCCATGCGGACTTATTAAAAACTGGAAGTCTCTCAAATGACTCACTTGAAAGAGCCTATTGGAGAAACAAAAATATACATCAAAGGTCCACAGTGTCATTTTCTCAAGTGAAATAGTAACCCAAATTTTATTATGTAAAACATCAGAAACCTTAATACATATTTTCAAAATGATATTAAAAATACACCTTAGTAGTTTACTTAGACTGGCCAGGAAAATATCAAAGCTTTTTTAAGGGAATGAAAACATTTGCTCATTCAAAATCAGAACTGAAATACACATGACCAGAACAAAACATATTTTAATTCAGCTCATACTGCTTTGAGATGCTCAACTGTTTTTACTATACGTGGTGATTGGTCTCACAAAGGGCCCAGGAAGAAATAGTCTCATGCATCCCAGGTTTATAAACACACACCATCAAGTGCTATTAAATATCACATTACTTAGAGGCATGGGCATCTAAGATAAATACTCCCAATAACTGGTTAAATTCTGGTGTCACATACACAGGTTGAGTATCCCTTTGAAATGCCTGGGAACAGGCCGGACACAGTGGCTCACACCTGTAATCCCAGCACTTTGGGAGGCTGAGGCAGGTGGATCACCTGAGGTCAGGAGTTAGAAACCAGCCTGGCCAACATGGTGAAACCCTGTCTCTACTAAAAATACAAAAAAATTAGCCAGGTGTGGTGGCACGCACCTGCAATCCCAGCTACTCAGGAGGCTGAGGCAGGAGCATAGCTTGAACCCAGGAGGCGGAGGTTGCAGTGAGCCGAGATGGCGGTACTGCACTCCAGCCTGGGTGACAGAGCGAGGGTCCGTCGAAGAGAAGAGAAGAGAAGAGAAGAGAAGAGAAGAGAAGAGAGAGAAAAGAAAAGAGAGAAGAGAGAAAAGAGAAGAAAAGAAAAGAAAAGAAGGAAGGAAAGAAGGAAGGAAAGAAAGAAAGAAATGCTTGGGACCAGAAGTAGTTCTGATTTTTTCCGATTTTGGAATATTTGCATTGTGTTTACCTGTTAAGCATCCCTAATCTGAAAATCTGAAATCTGGAGTGCTCCAATAAGCATTTCCTTTAAGCTTGACCTTTGAGCAAGCATCACATTGGCGCTCAAAAAGTTCCAGATTTTCAAGCATTTTAGATGGCAGATTCTTGGGTTAGGGATGCTTGATCCACAGTAGCATGTTATGCCACTGTTTAAAAGAATGAGCCAGTTCTACATAAACTGTTCTGGAAAGATCTCCAAGACAGATTGGAAAGTAAAAAAAATAAGAAGGTGCTGAAATTTCATTTATGTGGGAAAAATTCTATTTTTCCCATATTTATAAATGTAGAATCAACTCTAGGAGGAACCGTAAGACGCTAAGACCTGTGGTGATCTCCGCTGAAGAGAACTGGTGGTTTAGGGCCAGTGGGAGGAGAGACTAATTTTTCCTTTTGCGGCTTTTAAATTTTTATTATGTGTCTATATTACCTATTCAAAAAAACGTTACAAATATTCTAGAGTTTAGAAATAAAAGTCCAATTACCACCAATGAATAATAAAGAGTGTTACAGAGAAGTTTGTTATGAAATGAACCTTTTATCTAACTATATTATGATTACTGAATTCTTGTAACTTTGGGAAAGCCAGTGAGTTTTTAAAACCAAAGACCAAAATACTTCAGTTTATGAAAATCGACCTCCTTTTAGATCAGATCTTTCAACAGCCATGCAGTTTTTTAAGTCACAATTTAAAATTACGGTTTTAAAAATCAGCATTTTAATTTTTTTTTTCTCTTTTGAGACGGAGTCTCATTCTATCGCCCAGGCTAGAGTACAGCGGCACCATCTTAGCTCACTGCAACCTCTGCCTCGCGGGTTCAAGTGACTCTCCTGCCTCAGCCTCCTGAGAAGCTGGGACTAGAGGCGTGCACCACCACACCAGCTAATTTTTTGTATTTTTAGTAGACATGGGGTTTCACCATGTTGGCCAGGCTGGTCTCGAACTACTGACCTCAGGTGATCCGCCCACCTCAGCCTCCCAAAGTGCTGGGATTACAGGCCTGTGCCACCGTGCCTGGCCAAAATCAGTATTTTAATTTCTATACCTCCACGTTTCATATTTTGCTATACCTGAGCATAGAATCAAGGGTGAGGCATAACATGGTTTTCATGGGTAAGTGAAGTAAATCTGAGATGAATCTAAGAGACGATCGCTATTCTCAATCAGCGATTAGAACTTAAAGCTTTAAAAAGCAAAGATGCCTCATACTAACAAATAAAATGCAGTACCTTCAAATAAATGACAGCATCAGTACCCACTCCTTCCATGGAATACAGTTTCAGATCTCCTTGAAAATATCTAGCATACAGACGGGAAATTGGCAAACCATAACCAAATCCAGCCTATTGAGAAAAGAAAATTAATACAGTGAGACAGGCACAAATGCTAACACATTTTATATGATGACCATTCAGAGAAGGTTAAAATAAATTCTTGATTCAGATGTAAATCAAAGAAATTACTGACTCAACCTTTACAATGATGTATATCCTCTTCTATGGCAAACAACCTCTTTATTTTCACCCTGCAAAAACATGTCTTACATGTTTGGATAATAATAAAAATATTCTATTTTTTGACTAATACTTTTTTAGCATTTAAAAGCAAAGTTTTATCATTTTTAAAAAGCACATTCCAAGGCTGGGCACGGTGGCTCACACCTGTAATCCCAGCACTTTGGGAGGCTGAGGCAGGTAGATCACTTGAGGTCAGGAATTCGTGACCAGCCTGGCCAACATGGCGAAACCCCGTCTCTACTACAAAAATTAGCTGGGCGAGGTGGTGGGAGACTGTAGTCCCAGCTACTCAGGAGGCTGAGGCAGGAGAATCGCTTGAACCTGGGAGGTGGAGGTTGCAGTGAGCTGAGATGGTGCCACTGCACTCCAGCCTGGGTGACAGAGCGAGACTCCATCTCCACAAAAGAAAAAAAAAAAAAAAGCACATTCCAAATCAAGAGGAATGTGACCTGATGACAGAACTAAACCACATCATTTCAACGTCCCATGATCAGATTTCCCTGCTCTTAGAAGTGAAAATCAATAGCGCAGTGCTGAGTGCAAATCTACCAGTAACAAGATGAGAACACGGAAAGGAAAACAATTTTCTGAGAGGCAACTTCTAAGGTTCCGGGAATGTGAGAATATTTTGGTATATTATAGTTCAGATATTTTTAGAGATTAAAAAAAATTTTCAGTACCTTCCTATATCTCTATGTCATGGAACTCTGACTGTCAATAACAGGTGTTCAAGGAGAAAAAAAAAGGTCTCAGGTATGGACAAGAACAATACGAATCGAAACTAAATGTAATACCGTTTGCAGTGGCAGTGGGGCAGGGTGTGGAAGGAGATATTTTAACACCAAGCTTCCTCACTTCTGGTTAAATCTATGAACAAGGTTAAGGAAGGAGGGCAGGGGACCATGTGCATAGAGTCACATGGGCCTTAGACTCAGATAGACCCAAGTTGAAATCCACTTTCTGTGTGACTCTGAGCAGTTTGCTCAACCTCTTTGAGACCGATTTTTCATCTGAATATATGATTTTAAAAAAAACTGACCTCAGAGCTGCTATAAGGATTAAATAATATAACAAGTATCAAATCTTGGCACAGTGCTTACCACAGTAAAACTAAATAAATCAAAGCTGGTACTCTAGCTACTGGGAGCAGCAATTTTATGAAGTTACATGGATTTCTGCCCTTTTCTAACATCTCTCCTTGATACCTCCTCTCAGGGTAGCGTCTAACTGAAAGGGCAGAGGGTAAAAGAACATACTCCATTATTTGAGGGCTTTAGGACTTGCTGAATATGGCCAGTAGTGAAGATGAGATATCTATAGTAGTGACTCAGGTAACCAGAGCAAAGAAACTAGCTCACTCTAGGAAGAGATGTGAGGAAATCTGCCTTCTATGCTCAAGCAAGGCCCAGAGCCTGCCCTCAGGTCCAACACAGAACAGGCGAGAGCTCCGAGGCCAATGCAGATGTGAGTGTAAGCCCAGACTCCCAGAGTGCAGAGGAGGGGTCTGGACCTCGGATTGGCTGAGGTTCAGGAAAGGTTTCCCAGACGGTCAAAGCATCAGCAGGAGTTCGCTGGGTGGATATTCTCACAACAGAAATGCACGTGTAAAGGCACAGAGGTGTAAAAATGCAAGTTGCTCAATGAGGAAATTATGTTTTCTAGTAGTACATATCCATGTGCCCACTTTAAAGCTGAGGAGAGTTTCTTTTTCTTTTTCTTTTTTTTTTTTTTTTTGAGGCAGAGTCTCGCTCTGTCGTCCAGGCTGGAGTGTAGTGGCATAATCTTGGCTCACTGCAACCTCCACCTCCCAGGTTCAAGCAATTCTTGTGCCTCAGCCTCCTGAGTAGCTGGGATTACAAGCGTGCGCCACTGCTCCTGACTATTTTCATGTATTTTTAGTAGAGACCGGGTTTCACCATGTTGGCCAGGCTGGTCTCGAACTCCTGACCTCAAGTGATCCACCCGCCTTGGCCTCCCAAAGTGCTAGGATTACAGGCCAGTTTCTTAACTGGGAGAGCCACTAGTGGAAGCATTTCTTCAAAAGGAAAGGCCACATAGTACACTGGAAAGAACACAGACATGGCCAGCACCAGCTCTGCAGTTAATTAGTTCAATGACTTTGGGCAAGGTCATTTCCTCATTTCCTCATCTCTACAATGGGAGTGTGCGTGCGTAATTTTTAAAGGTCTCTTACAAGTCCCCAGTTCCTCAAGATGCTATTTTAAGACCTGGAAGAGACAATCTATATTTCTTTTAAACAACTGGGGAAGGTGCTACATTTGTTTGTGCTGCCTTTTTTCCTTTTGATGTGTATTTAAGTGCATGCCAGAGCCTAGTCAAGGCAATGCCTCTCAAACGTGATCTTTCGTGAATTTTCTCGAATCCTATATAAATGATTTCCTGTTTCCAACATGCTGAGTTAACAAACTCTGTCTCAAATAAAGGATGCAAAGTGTTTGATTTTATTAACACAAATAAAATATAATCTTATGTGCTTATCAGTCAGGTAGGACTTTAAAATGAAACTTAATTTATACCCTGAACCATTTTGCAGACTGATAGATATGTTGCTGTGTTTAATGACAAAGGGTTCAATTGTTGTTTGTCAATTAGAAACACTCAGCAGGGGAAGCAAGTGTGGCCCTACCAGGATCTAAATGCTACCATGGTAACCAGAGGCTTTTCTCACTGCCTTAATAGGGCTGAAGGTTATTTCCAGAGTGAGACAGAAAGGGCTCTGAAAACGCATACACCACCTATATGTTTCATGCTAATGTTATTTAATATAAAAATTTAATGTTTCCATAATTTAACATTTTAATTATATAAACAAATTTGACAGTGGAGATTCCAAGGCACTAGGTGATTCGCGCCTCTGTGGTATGCACGCCAGAGTGTGCAGGACCAAGCGGCAGCTATGCATTCAGTACTGTCCCTTTGCTCACCCACTGGTAACTTCTACCCCTGCCAAGGGTAGCACAAAGTGGAAAATGGTGCTCCAGTAGCAGTCTTACCACGATGAGGTACTTTTTCTCTGTATTTGGAAGTGAGGCACTCAGCTCGGAGTGTTTCTTAGAGATAAATCAGAGAGGAAATAGAAGTACAAAGAAAGTAGCCAAGGCAAAAAATTCCCCCTCCTCCAAACTGCAACATTCTAAATCAACTACACTAATGTGACAACCTGGGGAGAGAGGCAGCTCCCTCTGAGCCCCTTCCCGTGTTTATGATCTTTCCTTCAGCAGCAGTTTGAGATGCTTACCAAAGGGGCAGCTCTGGTAGGCTCCAGGCTGGGTCTAGGAGCAGTCGAATACATGTAGTTAAAAAGACGATCTATTTTTCGAAGTGGAACACCACCGCCTAGGTCACTGATCTGCAATGTACAAAATGTTAACAATCAAAACAAAGAAGTTGATCTATACTTAGTAGGAGGCAATGGGTTCATTAAATAAAGTACATAGCAGATTACTCTAAAATGTACAAGGACTTTGAATCCCCAGTGACATATGGTTCCTTTGTGAACAGTGTAAAGCAAAGGTGGCCGAATGGTACAGTAGGATCCAACAGGCTTGGTGTTGAGGTCTTGTTCAACTCCATGAATAACAAGGTTCTAATGAAGTTTAAATAAGGTAACTTAAGCCAAGGATCTAGCATAGAACTTACAAATAGGACACTCAATAAATGTCAATTTTCTTCCCTCTGATTTTTCAATGTCTAGATACTATTAAATCACAACTGATAATTAAAGTATACATGCGCATAAAACAGTTACCTTAATGGATAAGTCTTCTTTACCCAAAGTAACGAGGGTTTTAACAGCGGGGTAGCCCTCTTTTCTGTCTTCATAGAGTTCGACTGTCGCTCTCATTGAGTTCTAAAATAATAAGATCTTTTTGTTAATCATACTGCCGAATCACAAACCACAATTTTTAAAGAGAAAGAAGTGCATGACTTATACCCAACAACCCTTTTTTGGGGCAAATATTAGTTGGATTTTTATGGCACTTTTCCCTCTAAAGAGCTTAGCTAAATGTGCTCAAATCAAGGAAAAATTTCCTGACACTTTGTTTTTCACCTAGTTTTAGCCTCATCCAACATGCTAAATATTTATTTTTCTCTCCTTCTTCTTCTTCTTCTTTTTTTTTTTTTTTTTTTTTTTTTTTTTTTTTTTGCTTTACGGTATTTAAATTATTCAACTCAATCCAGAGGAATGTTTTTATCGCATGTAATGAGGCTATGCAGAGGCTCATTTGTGTACTTTAAATCCTATTTATCAGTCTGCATTTATAGAGCACCTTTTCTCTAAAGGAGGCAGAAAAACTGAAAGGATGCATGCTTCCCACAAAAATTAATCATTTGGCTGAAAAAAGTAGAAGAAATATTGGTTAAAAAGAAATTCTGAAAAAGCCACAGCTGCTGAAGAGAAAGTTCACAATTGAATGCCCATTTCAACCTTAAAGCATTACATCAGTAACACTCTAATTTTTGGAAGCAAATCAGCATAACTGATTTTTCAGGTGTTCAAATTTAGTGTTTCACGCATTGGAAGAAATGAAATTTTAGCTCAAATGCCTTGTGCCTGTAATACTGCTACTGTAAATGTCATTAGCTACTGATTAACAAAAGCAACAGCTTAAGTTGCAGAGTCTAAAGAATTTGGTGGGGTGGTGGGGGCTGGTTCTTTTGGTCCAGCTCATCTACATCTTTCTCTGCCTCTCTTGGATCTTCTGAATTGATTCAAATATTTTATAAAAGGGTTGCAGGATCTCTCAGGATTGGAACAGCCACTAATGTACCAGTGTGGTTAATTTTCAGAAGCATAAATATGTATAAACATGTTTTTATTTTGATCTGGCTACCACCAATAAAGCCTTTGCCAGGTTTGGAAACTAAAAAGCATCTCTAATCTCATAACTAAAGAAAAAAACAGTATGGATTTTACATAAAATCACTAAAGTGCAATTAAGCTTCAAAATCGATATGTACTAATATTCACGAAAACTATACTGTACACAGCAATTTTTCATCTCACAGTGTACAAATTATAAAACCCACAGGATATCAGAAATAGAATTTTTAAAATGGTTATGCAAAACCTTTTTCTTATGCTAATCTAATGAATCCATTATGCTCTGAATCAAAGTAATTTAAAATGAAGACTTCTTTCCATGTTTTTAAAATTCCACTTACCTTGAACAACTCAAATAGCATATGAAACAGATGTGAGGGCACATAAACCACCTGAATAGGTTTGTCTGGCGCTTTGGCTGAAAACAGAGACAAAACCATCAATCAATAAGGACCCAAACTAGGAGAAACTCAAGAATGATGTTTGCACTCTATTTTCCAAGTGTGTAAAACACAGCTCTATAAAAGGCTAACTTGGGTTTCCACCTCTAAAGGCAGGGCTGAGCAAAAGCATATGCTTTGGAATCAAACAAACCTGGGGTGAAACCCCGTTCCTTCACTTACCAGCTATGTGACCTTGGATAAATCACTCAATCTCTTTGAAACTTTGTTGAGCAGAATTGGAATATTATCACCTAGGCCATAATATCCTGAGTATTACAGAAGGCCAGACAGATATCACTGGGTGTTTTTCAAATTGGGGGCTACCTTCTGCCACTGACCCCAGGGGGAATTCCATGGGGAATGTGGAGCAACAGGGAAAATAAACAAAGGGCTGGTGAACTGGACTAAATGGCAGTGTTCAATTTTGTTAAATTATGACAAACAAGACATCTTATAGCATAGAATGTAAGGTTCACGTAACTTTTTCTCAAGCAGCTAGCAGATAAACCCCTAGAGACCTACGATTTTTTCCCCTTGCACCATGGATCGTCTGAAGAAAATCTGAGAAACACCAAAACCCGGGTCAAGCACTAAGAAGAGTGTGGGATACAGAGTAGATGCTCAAAAATATAGTCCTTCCTCCTCCTCATGACCCAAAATCACTTAAGAGATTGAAACTACATGAACTCTCTCAGGTAGAATGCTGTCATTTCAACCAGCTACTTCCTCTAATAAAGTAATTAACAATAATATAAATTAGAGTTCACATTTGCTTGATTCTTAGCAGTCTACAAAGAGCTTTCACATACATTATTCAATTGACTCCTCCTGACAACATTTCCTGGCTCCTAGCAGGGTGGTGGTGTTTAGCGGCGTGGAAACAGGCTTTGGGAAGCCTGTGTGACTTGCCCATGGTCCCAGAAGTGGCACCGAAACTGGACACCTGAACCGAGAGCTTTTGATTCTAATCCTGAACTCTTCAAAGAGCAATTATTTTTATTTTTATTTATTTATTTTTTGAGACACAGTCTTGCTCTGTTGCCCAGGCTGGAGTGCAGTGGCGCCATCTCGGCTCACTGCAACCTCCACCTCCCGGGTTCAAGCGATTATCCTGTCTCAGCCTCCTGAGTGGCTGGGATTACAGGTGTGCGCTGCCACTCCTGGCTAATTTTTGTATTTTTAGTAGAGACGGGGTTTCCCCATGTTGGACAGGCTGGTCTCGAACTCCTGACCTCAGGTGTTCGCCCACCTCGGCCTCCCAAAGTGCTGGGATTGCAGGTGTGAGCCATTGCGCCTGGCTCCTTTATTGTCATTCTAATGGGGCTCGAGGAACAAGCTGGGTACTCAGTTTATCTTGTACCAAATGGCATCATTAGTTACATAAACAGCCTTATGAATTCAACATTTTCACCCCAAATCTCAAGAAAAGGCAAATGCCTTTTATATAGTGGGGTTTTGTTTTGTTTTGTTTTGTTTTTTCAGTTTAAACAACATTCTCTAGGAGCCATCTAAAGGCTTGCTCAATTACTTGCACTTTTCTTTGGGAACATTATAGTTTAGATTTCTTTCCTTCCTTTTAAAACCATGTCAGATGTTTTTGTCCATGACTCTTTCCTAGTTCTGGGTCTCGAGGCTGGCTGTTAAGTAGTAGATGCTTAATAGATGTTTGCTGACTTATAAATAAGTAGAATATGAATTTTCCATCTAAGGGCACATTTTAAAAAGTCAATTAAAAAAATGGCCTAGGTTTGTCATGTTCAAGACTCCAGAAATAATAAAGTCTCTATATTGTACAATCATTGCTCCAAATGCCATTAGTTGAAACAGCATTTAAGAAATACCATTAGATATAAGGAATTTTATTTCCAGACAGTTCTCCTTCCAAAATAAAAAAGCATCCACTTAAGGTGTTCAGGATCAACCTCCAACCTGCATCTCCAACATAGAACTTGTTAAGGCAAAAGCACATTCCTTAATCATGTTCACAGAGAGCTCTAGCATTAAGAAATTATACATAAAAATAATCACTACACTACCCAAAGCAACATAAAGCTAGAGGCTACCTAGAAACACCAGCATTCATTTATCGTAGTGATAGGACAAGGGGCTTCAGAACATGATTGAAAGGGGGCTTCTGTAATTCGTGAGACAATGCCAAAAAGAGTCGGAAAGCTCCTCTCCTGGTGGGTGAGCTGCCCAGCATGACAGCCTCAGTGGGGACGGAATGTGCTGACATGGCTGGCACTTGGGAATCAGCAAGAACAGGCCTGCTGCTTTGGCCTTTAGAATGAGGGAGGCTGCCACTCACGCAAAAGAGCAATTTGTTACTACCTGTGGATGTGAGGTCAGCTCCTGCCTAGTCCGTATGAAGAGAGAGAGAGAATATTAAGATGGTTCTCATCAGGAACACTCCAGACAAGCCCACTTGGTCCTGGTAGTGTATTTATTCAATGGGGATATGACTCTTCTCAGAGAACTCAAGAGACCTTGAAAGCAGCTTTGACTTCATGCCTTCTAGTCAAATGGAGGGGCCATGTCCTTCAACAGCAGCCTGAACTCCTTTCATAGTTTAATCTCATTATAAGAGAAATACATTTTTAATGTACTTCTGAGGGGGAATTTGGTTTATCTTTCTTTTTTTTCTTTTTTTTTTTTTTTTGAGATAGGGTCTTGCTCTGTCACCCAGGCTGGAATGCAGTCATGTGATCTCGGCTCACTGCAGCCTCTTACCTCCTGGGCTCAAGCGATCCTCCCACTTTAGCCTCCTGAGTAGCTGGGATTACAGACACATGCCACTATGCCCAGCTAATTTTTCTATTTTGTGTAGAGACAGGGTTTTGCTATATTGCCCAGGCTGGTCTCGAACTCCTGGGCTCAAGAGGTTCTCCTGCCTCAGCCGCCCAAAGTGCTGGGATTACAGGTGTGAGCCACCATGCCTGGCCTGGTTTATCTTTAATTGTAAATGCTCACACCCTGTCATTCCACATCTAGGAATCCAACCTGAAGAAATACTTTCATATGTTCACAAATTTTTCCACCCTCCCCACCTCTCACACTCTTTCATAGCTCATTATATGGAATATAGGAAAACCGGAAATCCTAAATGTATACCCATAGGAAAATAGTTAAATAAATTATGGTAAGCTACACTATGGATAATCTCTAAATGAGATTAATACTTGCAAAGGTGTTCAAGGTGAAGTGAAAAACACGTTATAAATAGGGTTAAAGCTATACATGCTTTATGCAAAAACCAAAACTCTGTATGGGACTGAGAAAGTAGTGGGAGATTTCCCTTTTCACTCACATTTCTGTATTTGTATTTTTGTGATGAGCATGTCTCTTCCATAATTTACAAATAAAAAATAAAAGGAATATGTAAATAAATATGCAATCATATGATGAACATAAAAATCATCTGTAACCCCATTACCCAGAGAGCTGCTATTTGTATTTTGGTAGTATAAATCCTTCAAAATATTTTCCAATGAACTTCCACTATTATAAACTTTTATAGCCTGTATTTTTAAAAAACATCTCAATTTTTCCCATACATTATTCGTTTAAAGCATCATTTTAAAGGGCTGCATAGTATTCTAAATTATAGGTGTACCACAATTCAGTTAAACAATGCTCTATTGTGGAAAACTTGGGTTGTTTTCTAACTTTATAAGAAAACTACTGTGATCATCAATCTTGTACATAAATCTGTGCATCTCTATTTTCATGTATTTTTGTTTGTTTTTTGAGATGGGGTTTCACTCTATTGCCGAGGGTGGAGTGCTATGGCACTATCTCAGCTCACTGCAACCTCCGCCTCCCGGGTTCAAGTGATTCTCCTGCCTCAGCCTCCCAAGCAGCTGAGAATACAAGCATGTGCTACCACGCCTGGCTAATTTTTGTATTTTTTGTAGAGATGGGGTTTCGCCATGTCACTCGGGCTGGTCTTAAACTCCTGGACTCAAGAGATCCACCCACTTTGGCCTCCCAAAGTACTGGGATCACAGGCATGAACCACCGTGTCCAGCCTCTATTTTCTTATAATAAATGTTCTGAAGTTTAATTTACTGGACCAAAGAATAAGACCATTATTAACTTATTTACTGGGCCAAACAGAAAGAACATTGTTGGCATTTTTTAGAAAGGGTATACCACTTTAAGCTTATACAAGAAATATATGTGCTGGTGAGAAAGTATTTTTGTGGGCACAAATTCAAAGCATTAAAATGTTTTAATCACTGTCATTTTGAAAGAAAAAAATGGCATTTCTGGCCGGGCGCGGTGGCTCACGACTGTAATCCCAGCACTTTGGGAGGCCGAGGCGGGTGGATCACCTGAGGTCAGGAGCTCCAGACCAGCCTGACCAACATGGTGAAACCTCGTCTCTACTAAAAATACAAAAATTAGCCAGGCATGGTGGCAGGCACCTGTAATCCCAGCTACTCAGGGGCCTGAGGCAGGAGAATCACTTGAACCTGGAAGGCAGAGGCTGCAGTGAGCTGAGATCACACCACTGTACTCCAGCCTGGGCAGCAGAGTGAGACTCCTTCTCAAAAAAAAAAAAAAAAAAAAAAAAAAAGGCATTTGTCTGTGTTTTTGTTTGTACTTCCTTGATTAGTGAAGTTAAACACTTTTCCATATGTTTATTGACTGTTTGCTTTTGTTACTTTGAGAAGAGCCTATTTATACCTTTGTACATACTCTACCTTGATTACTTCTGTTCCAAGAATTCTGGGGTCTAACACATTACACATTCCTGTATAAAAACTCCTTACAATAATATATCTGGTTGACCAAAGGCACAGAAAGTTTACAAAATATATAAGAAAATGAAAAACTTTTGGATCTCACTGAAATATGGCTTAGGTATAAAGAGCTTCTTAGTCAGCTTTTTTGAATGTAAGGTTAAAATTAGTTTTCTTTTACCATTGAATTCTTCAACTTCCAGCTCTGGAGCTACCAGGTAATACTGTTCACACAGCATCTTGGCTGTTTCATATGCATCTACAAGAAAAGGAAAAAGTTTAGCTGCTGCACTAATAACATATAGGCACAAGCATGTATGTGTGTGTGTGTGTGCATGCATGTGCATGTATATATCTATAGGTATATAAGATAAAGAAACTGTCTAAACAGATGGATGTAGAATTAATCAACTACAACCTTTTACAAAATATCCTTTTGTGGCTTTAATAGAATTACCATGACTAAAACAAAAGTTCTCTTTTCTATTTTTTCCAAGACAGCGTCTCACTCTGTCGCCTAGGCTAGAGTACAGTGGTGTGATCATAGCTCACTGCAGGCTCGAACTACTGGGCTCAAGCAGTCCTCCCACCTCAGCCTCCCAAGTAGCTGGCCTTACAGGCACATGCCACCATGCCCAGCTAATCTCTCTTTTCTTAAAGGATTTTTTTGTTTGTTTGTTTTTTGAGACAGAGTCTCACTCTGTTGCCCAGGCTGGAGTGCAGTGGTGCCATATCGGCTCACTGCAACCTCCGTCTCCCAGGCTCAAGCGATTCTCCTGCCTCAGCCTCCCGAGTAGCTGGGATTACAGGCGGATGGCACCACGTCCGGCTAATTTTTGTATTTTTAGTAGAGATGAGGTTTCACTATGTTGGCCAGGCTGGTCTCGAACTCCTGACCTCAGGTGATCCACCCACTTTGGCCTCCCAAAAGTGCTGGGATTACAGGCATGAGCCACCGTGCCTGGCTTTCTTTTCTTAAAGTTTTAATGACCATAACAATGGCAACATACTAGAATACTGGCAATTCAACTAGCTCTATACCAAACACGTATTTGTTTAACTTATAACTATTACCAGAAGATATTTTTCATGAAAATTTAGGAACTCAAGACTATACTTTCCAAGCACCATGCAACCTGACTAAATTGTAGCAAAATAATATTTGTCATGATCTTAAAAATAATAATGCCAACAGTCTTGTGGTTTGCCAGAGTTATTTGTAAGTGAAACCTCAGTAAGTATTTGCTGAATGAATGGATTTCCATGAGCCACACAATTTAAATTACTGGAGATGCCACTATCACTTTAAAAGGTCCTTTCAATTAGTTAAAGGTAACAGGCTGGGGCTGATATTTATCAAAGTCTGAGGAGCAACAGTTCACTTTTTAAAGGATAAAATAAAAGACATATGGTAAGAAGATCAGAGCCATTACAGAAATAGCTGGAAGACAGAATTCAGGAGATTCAAAGATGGGGAGCAAATTCAGAAAGCAAAGGTGCATTACAAGACATTGGATACTGCATGTATGCCTTTTCTCTCGAACTGTAAACAATCTGAGGTCAGTGTTTGTGTCTTAACACTTGTTTTATAACTTGCATAGAACTTCGTATAGTGCCTATGTAGATGGTCAACAAACAGTCCTTGAGCCAGGTGCAGTGGCTCACGCCTGTAAACCCAGGACTTTGGGAGGCCGAGGTGGGCTGATCACTTGAGGCCGGGAGTTCAAGACCAGCCAGGCCAACATGGTGAAACCCCGTCTCTACTAAAAATACAAAAATTAGCCATGCATGGTGGTGAGTGTCTGTAATCCCAGCTAGTTGGGAGGCTAGTTGGGAGGCTGAGGCAGGAGAATTGCTTGAACCCAGGAGGTAGAAGTTGCAGTGAGCCGAGATCGTGCCACCGCACTCCAGCCTGGGGGACAGAGTGAGACTCCATCTCAAAATTTAAAAAAACATAAATTAAAATAAATTAAAAAATTTTTAAAAACCTTGGTTTGATAAATTTTAAACCTTTTGGTAATTTACTTTTAAAAAATCTTTATTGGAGATGATTATTATACCATACAATTCACTCATTGAAAGTAAAGTTTACTTTTAAAAAATCTTTATTGGAGATAATTCTTATACCATACAATTCACTCACTGAAAGTAAAGTGTACACACGGCCGGGCGCAGTGGCTCACACCTGTAATCCCAGCACTTTGGGAGGCCGAGGCAGGGGGATCACTTGAGGTCAGGAGTTCGAGACCAGCCTGGCCAACATGGTGACACCCCTTCTCTACTAAAAATACAAAAATTAGCCAGGCATGGTGGCGGGTGCCTGTAGTCCTAGCTACTCAGGAGGTTGAGGCAGGAGAACTACTTGGACCTGGGAGGCAGAGGTTGCAGTGAGCCGAGATCACGCCACTGCATTCCAGCCTGGGTAACAGAGTGAGACTCCATCTCAAAAAAAAAAAAGTACATACAACTCAGTGGTTTTTAGTATATAGTCAGAGCTGTGCATTAATCACTATAATCAAGTTTACATTTTCATCACTACCAAAAGAAGTTCCAAACCCGTTAGCAGTTACTCCCCTCCACCCAGCCCTAGGTAACCATGGATCTACTTTGTCTCTATAGATTTGCTATTCTGGACTTTTTACATAAACGGAATAATATGCGGTCTTCTGTGACTGGCTTCTTCCACCAGCATGTTTTCAAGCATCATCTACATCATAGCATGTATCAGAACCTCATTTCTTTTTATTGCTCTATTATATTCCATTGTGCAAGTATACCATATTTTCTTTATCCATTCATCAGCTGGTAGATATCTGGGTTGTTTCCACTTTTTGGCTATTATGAATAGTGCTGCTATGAACCTTCATGTCCAAACATTTGTGTGAACATATGCCTTCATTTCTCTTGGGTATATTACCTAGGAGTAGAAAATTGCTGCTTCGTGGGCGCATTTGGAATGTTCTCAACAGGATTATCAGCTCTTTGGAGACAGGCTCTTATTTCCTTTATATTCCCCACAGCATTACTGTGCAAAAGTAGATATTGTGCTTGTTTAATATTCAAGAGGTGAGAAAAAGAAGGAAGGAAGGAAAGGGGGAAAAGTAAGCCCTACAGAATGTTAATGTTAAAAATTGACATTATTAACCTACAATAATACAAAGATAAGATTAGGGTATGTTCAGACTATAAATTTACCAAATTAAAATTTTATCTATTATTTGACCTCAGAGTAAGAATTCTGATTCTTTTACTAAACTTTTAGAATTAAATCCCTATAAAGAACCAAAGATAGAGATATTAAAATAACTCAGACAAGGTGAAATAATGAGGGACAGCAAAAAGGAAACAGCAGTAAGAGGAGAAAAAAAATGTTTCAAAGAGTTGGTCAGTATGAAAATAGACACTTAAGTAGGATTGAATTTCAACCCTGAAAAAGAAAGAAAGTTAAAAATTTTGAATTATACTAAATTTACAAGTGTTTTCCTAGGCTATAATAAACCTTATCAAATATCTCTAAAGTACTTTTGTCAAAAGAAGAGAAATCAAGACTCACTCCTCTTGCTTAGCCTATGCCACCAAACAATGCTACATCTCCACCTAGTGACGTGAAAGCACAAAGTTGAACAGGAATTTCCAAGATCACAAACACTGAAACCTAAAAACGATCATTCATTATCCATACACAAAGCCAACACATCTCCACAAAACAACTCCTCCAGGTATGTAATAAAGATGTTTAAACAGTGCTCTTCCATTCACTACCAAACAAAAATAATCTACACCCACTAAATGTCCTAATTTCTCATGGAATTCGCTTGCCCAGTAGCATGATTATGACAGCGTTGTTAAGAAAACGTGCTACACAAATTTAACATGTGAAAAACCAAGCCCGGACAGAAGCAGCCAACTCAAAACACAAAGACCCAGTACAGCTCCTAAAACCACGTGTGATTAAGAATTTTTAAAGCATCACTACAAAATATAGTGTATCAATGCTATAATTAAGAATTGCATGATGATCCTTGAAGAACTCAAGTCATCACAATGTAGACTCACATACACCAGCTAGCCAAAAGGGCATTAATGATATTATCTATATACTACACATCTTTGTAAATTCCTTGGACACAATGCATGTTGCAATGCCTGGACACAATACACACTTAATGAGCATTTGTTAAATGGAACGATCCTCTGGCCCATGATTAAGTTCTCAACATGCAGTAAATTACATTGACAGGAGGTGTTCCTTTTGGTGAGACTGGGAATTAGAGGCTTAGAGTCATTCCCCAATCTAGCTGTGTGTGGGATTCGTTACCAGATTTGAAAGAAAGAGTACAGATTATGAAAGGAACCCCTGGAAATTCTGAGGCAGTAGCTCTATGTTGAAGCCTGAGAGTCCACATTCTTAAAACTTAGCAGGTAATTTGGAAGAGAAGCTAGACCACTTCCCTGGAAAGTCAAGTCTGAGTCACACTAATTCTGCCACTCATCTCTCCTAGGACATGAATGCTTATGAGGTACTGGGGTGACAGCACTTATATACTCAAACAGGATATTTCTGTTTAAGTAAAATAATTTAACATAAAAATGAAAAAGCTTTAAGAAATCACCATCAAAACCAAAATTCAACTAATGGCTTGTAATTTACACTTAGAGTAAAATGCAAATTCTACTTATAATAAGCTTTCTAATCAAACTTTTCTATTTTTTAAATTTAGAAATCAAAATTTCAAAAAAGATAACTGCCAAATTATTTTATGTGCAATATATTGGAGCCAATATTTACCATCAATCTTTAGAAGAAAATATTAGAAAATTATTATTGCCGCTGAATATAAATGATATGCCTTATTTTAGGAATCTGTTTTCAAGGGTTTTAAGGTACTGATTATAAAATAATTAACAAAACTGTAGGTGTGGCTCATACATACTTCCCCAGGTTAAAATAACTAAACTGTAAATACATGAGACAACAATTTTTTTTTTTTGAGACAGAGTCTGGCTCTGTTGCCCAGGCTGGAGTACAGTGGCGTGATCTCAGCTCACTGCAAGCCCCGCCTCCCAAGTTCACATCATTCTCCTGCCTCAGCCTCCCAAGTAGCTGGGACTACAGGTGCCCGCCACCATGCCTGGCTAATTTTCTGTATTTTTAGTAGAGATGGGGTTTCACCTTGTTAGCCAGGATGGTCTTGGTCTCCTGACCTCGTGATCCGCCCGCCTCGGCCTCCCAAAGTGCTGGGATTACAGGCGTGAGCC